CGTAAACATTTATTTGTATGATTTAATTTTCGAAAAATAATATGGCTAGCCTCTCTTAAACTTTCATATGTTATAGAGAATTGTAAATTAAAATAGGTTTTTTTATTTTACAAATATTAGATGTGAAATCTTTTTTTCTTCTCTATTTCCCCTTAATTTCTAAGACCTTATTTAAGAAGTTAGTAAGTATAAGTATATAGCGAGAAAGACTCGTTGCTTTCTTTCGCTATGATATACGCGGGTATATATAGTTATATAGCTGTAGTCGGCATTTCCATGCACACCACTCCTCTCTCCGTAGGCACATATTCAGTATACCCCTTCCACGCGTCTCCGAAGTATGTGCCTACATGCCCATTTCCACGCGAATCTGTAGGCACACACTCGGTATACCCCCTCCACGCTTCTCAAATAAAAAAAAAAATATGTGTGCCTGGTTCGACCGCTTGGCCGCGACGGGGCGCTCGAAACAGTGGCCAAAAGTGAACTCGCGCCGTAGCATTGCAGTCAGCAATCTCTCTACTAATCTCTGCTCTTGACCCTGTGCGCTCCCTCCCTTCTCCCTTACGGTACTCACAGTCGCCACTCTCGGTGGCCCTCGCACCTACGCTCGACGCTCTCATATACCACAACATGTTTACATGTAAGAGAAGCTTTTTATACGCAGACTTGAATTGTTTGGCTGTTGGATTGTTGTTCCATCCGTTCATTCGACGTGTATATATATGCAAAAAAAGTTTCCAAGTGGTCTTGTGACAATTTATATGTGAGAAGAAAACTTATTTTCTCTTCTGCTATTAACTGCTCTGCTAATTTACAAACATTCTTCAAATCAATTATTAATCCAATAAATCCTGTGCGACGCTTTGATTGTAAAACAGGCACACCAGCAATTTTCAAAGTACTTATGTAGTCTATGTAAAGTGTAACCTTGTACTTCAATTCATTTAAATTTGTCTTACTGATTGGAAGTTTTGACTCTGATTTTGCATAAATATTTTTAGAATTAATTACATCAAATATGTCATTAACAAATTTACATAGTTTAGCAGTTCCACGAGAATTTTGAAAGTCTTGCAACTTTAAGTGATCTTGCAAATAAGTTAAAGCACTTGCAACGCTATTACTGAAAGTTTGGGCAGCCAAATTAACTTTCATTTTTTCATCTTGATAGTTTATGTGTCTTCTGCGGACTTTTGTTGCCAAATGTAATCCCTCGGACTCTTGCTATTTAACTAGATATATTCCCAATATAATTTGAGGCAAAGAATCCGAATGTTGTCCAAATTGCTCCATCACATCAAGATTTTTCTCATCTAAAAGTCATGGGGTATCAAAGCGTATAGATGTGCTACGCATATCGTACGTTACACGGTGACACTATATGATATCTAATGTTATTTCATCCTGATTTAAAAAAAAAATCTTGACCTGATGAAGCAATGTGAACAACGAAATCGAATTCAGCGCCTTACATTACACAGAGAATATGTAAATGTAGATATATATCTGCTTATTTGTGTGCTACAATTTTTTTGTAATCCTGCGTAATTAATTATGAAATACACATAAAAAAATCATACTGTTAAAATAAAAAAATTTGTTCAATTTTTTAGAGCTCCATTAAAAGAAAACTTTCTAATTAACTTACTTGAAGATTTGTCAAATCAGAATCAGATATGAAGTACTTGGACTTCAAATTATTAAGCATATCTTTAAAAGTTTTCATTGTCACGATTTTGCGACGACTTTTTTGCCTCACGCGCCTCGATTCCTGTCTTTTGTAAATTGTATGTCTCACAAATTTAATCCATGCCTCATCTGAAGTGAAGTCCTCTCTCTTTAAGTACTCAGTTGTAAAACGAGATGTTTTTACTGCTACTCTGTTACCAACCTTTAGCTCGCAATGATCTAATTTCATCCTAACACAGAAACACATGTAAAAATTGTTTTTTTTTGGCACTCTGCATTATTTTGTAAACAAACCTATTATTCTGATTAATATTTTGATCTGAAGAATCGCTCTTTCTTTTATTTACATTTGAAGTCACTTCTTTTTTAGAAGCTTCTCTGAAATATAGTGTAATACACTCATAAAAAATGCATATTTCACAAGAGTAATTTTTAAACTACCACATACGTTTCACCATCAAGACTATGATGAGAAATGTCGTCGAGCGTTGACTCAGCAGGCATGCTGACTCCTTCATATGAGTTTATCGTTTTTTCCATCGGTCTGGCTGGCAATACTTCAGAATTGTTGTCAAGCGTAGACGCCACAGGGATGATAACTTCTTCATGACTGACAGTTCTAGAATCTACTTGGCTGGTGACACTTACAAAGTTTAAACTGAAATCATTCATAATTTTCATTAAATATATTACAGATGAATCACAACATAAGTGCACTAGTACAAAATTACTTGATTTTCAAACTGGGAGTAGCAGAAGGTCGTAAACGCCTCAAAGTTTTAATTCCATCAATGTTAAAAAAATCATCTGAAGAGAAATGGTCGCTGCATATTGCAGCACCACTGTAGCAAGATTCTCGACCAATACTTTGTAACCATTCTTTTTTCCTTTGTTCATCTTTTGGATTCCTCGAAAATTAAATTTTTATTTTCAGTTGCATCTTATAAAATACCTAATTCTTTAAGTCATCGGAAGACTTCAAATAACTTACTTATGAAAAGATCGGTTGCTACTAGCTAAACTTTGCTCTGCTGCACATACCATATATAATTTTATCATTGTACAAAATAATTAACTTGCTTCCAAAATGTTTATACTTAAAACTATCCTGAGAATTGCTCAGCTGTGTCATGCATCAACCTATATGACCTGCACTGCATCGTCTGCTACTGAGTAAATAAACATCATGCAAACATATATATGTTTACATATACATGCAACTATGCCCCTTCTCCGTCCGTCTGCCTCGCGCCCCCACTCCCCGAGTGTGCGAGAGAGAATGACTGACTGCCCCCGTCTTCTCTCTCTCTTTCTACGCGAGCTTCACTGCCCCGGCTGCTAATAAGCAGTCTATTCTTTATATGTCTATGGTGACACCTAAGTATTTTCTCTTAGTGTAGTAGTAGTAGTTTTTTTTATTGGCTCAGAGAAAACATACAGCCACTGAGTAGTATTCTCTTAGTGTCATCGCGGTGTTGAGCTGACGAGTACGAGTGATATATGTTCGATTGAAGAGTTATGTGTTTATTTTAGTAGTGCCGTATAGTTTTTTATATTAACAAGCCGCAACTTACACCAATGGATGGGAAATAAAAAGTTGTCGCTTAGAAATGCCATTTACGGTAAGATTATAATGCATCTTTTACCCGAAAATTGACCTTAAAAAATAGACTCCCTACCCGATCTTATCTGTAACACTCATCTAAGATAATGGATGAGGCATTGTAGATAACATTGTAGATAAAAAAACAATATCTATATTTTTGGAGGTCGATTCTCGGATACAAGATGCATTCTAATCTTTCCACAAATGGCACTACCTGGTAATAACTTTTGATTTTCTATCCAGTGGCGTAAGTTGAGGCTGGTTAATAAAAAAGATCATATCAAACAACTATAATTACAACATAACTCCTTACTACAATGAAGTATGACTGAAATATTTTGGATCTCTACAAATCATAAGGTTCTTCAATTCTGATAAAAGTGGCGGCTGGTTAAAATTTTGACCACCCTTCGACCTCAGCTCTTGGTCTATATTCATAACTTGGTTAGAGAAAGAGACTTGTCAGGGTTGACTGAGCCAAGTAACATTGTCAGAAGCTAGCACGCCAGGCGTTGTAGGCATGCGGCACGCCCAATTTAGTCCTGCCGCGCACCTAGAGTAGTCACGCGGGGCCATCAGTAGTATAGGGGAGCTGCAATAGCTTCTTATTTTGGTGGCGCTGCCTGCTTACTTTTTTTTTAGTTTAAATGTTAATTTCAAACACAGTTGTAGCTAGTTAGTCCAAAAAATATAATTAACAAATAAATAATATAAATGTTTAAACAAACAAATAATTATATATTTAAATATATAAAATAATAATATCCCAAAACACCGCACATCACTTACTGTATTATTAGAAAATAAGATTATTGTTAGCTATTAACTCACATTGTAATATGCAATACAAATGTGTAAGGACCATATTTTATGCAAATGTAACCCTAGATTTATTCAAATTGTGTAAAACATATATCTGTAGAACGTACATGAGCCGATTTTACCAGGCACGAACTCGCCCAGTGAGTTAAGACTTAGGGGGGTCCTGCACGCAAAATAATTTCGAGCATAAGGAGATCAAGTACATGTGCTTATAGAGTTCAAATCACTTTGAATTCCTACTACACAAGTATTTGGACTACCTAAGATCAAAGATCGTGTCATACTAGTTCAAATGTGCATTGAACTTGTGAAGCACAAGCATGAGAGCCACTCTGCCTGTAGTTCGTGCGCGCACAGNAATTTAAAAGAATAATTAAAAATTAAAGTTTTGTATAATTTATTAATGTACTATTGACCAGAAAACAATGTAATTTTATTATTTTTCATTCTAATACTTTTCATTTCATCCTTGTATCGTGAGCACTCGTGGTGGATACTTAAATTGAAGAATTCATTTAATATTATCTTAATAAGTTGTGTTCTATGATCAAACATTGCTAGCTGATCATATATGTGATCTTCACCATTAAAAAGTGTTCTTTGCAGTTGTCTGAAACATTTACTAATCAGAAAATCTATGATCTTTTTTTCTGTAAACAGATTATTCTTATACATTCTTAGAACCCTTTCAGCTGTCTTACAGATAGTTACAACACTTTTTGACGGAAAAATCAGGCCACCCCTATCTTTACACTGAATTAAAGAAGAATAAAATTCAGTTGTTTGTAATTTAAGTTTACAAATAATGCAATCAACTTTTGACCGAACATTTTTTACAACAAATCCCGAGATTTATTCTACAACATCATTGACATAATCAGAAATGTACCATGGTACAGACTTCGTATAATCATGGTCAGTGAATATTTCAAAAATTTGATGTTCTTTACTTCTGTCAGCACTTTCAGATTTATCTTGACCTTTGACTTCACTGGGATCTATCTTTAATAAAACTGTCATCGTGTGGTATGCAGTTTGAGTTAAAAGATGTAGACATGTGTAATGTATAAGACATTTAGGATACAGGGGAAACTAGGTGATGTAATTATAAACCATGGTAAGTATATATAATAGGTATATTGATACTGTTATATATTAGAGGGTATACATACGCCCGTAGGCCCGTGACTAACTCGCAAGCACCTCTATTGAAAAAAACCATATACATTTTCCATATGGAAAAACCACAATGGTTCTTCCATATGGCTTTTGTTTCAAATATCCATATGGATAAACCATATGGAAGTAGGTAAACCATATAGAAGTAGGAGACCATATGGAAGTTGATAAGCCACGTGGAAGTCAGTAAATTTTAAGAGTTGTGATATTCCAGTATAATAGATCATACGCACGGAAAAAAAATATTCTCCGGTCGATATAACGTGAATGAATATTACGTATAATAATTAGCATACACCGAATAACTGGAGCAATTTCATGCTCCTTTTTGTCTACGTTGTGAACTGAGACCATCATTTTATGTTCATAAAATTACAAATGAACAAAGCAATGGTTTTTCCGATCGCGTATAATACTAGTAGAATTTCTAATATACAAAACGTCATAATTTTTATTCTCTGTATTGTAAAATATAAAAACTAAAAGTGAAGTCGTGGATTGCGAGCTTGGAATGTTAATAGTACTTTTACAAATTTTTGATCAAATTAATTTTTTTACTAATGCGTTAACAGTATGATGGAGTGCATATGACTTACATTCTGAGGCGATAATAATCGAATAATCAAGACTATTATTTAGAAAAAAATTTTTCTTTATTAGTATCATAATTATGATATATAAAATTTAAGATTACATTTTTGAGATCAATTTTTTGATTTTTTTGACGTTGCACCATTTATAAGAAAATTATGTTATTTTTAATCAAGTCATTGTAAGTTATTATATTAAGTTATATTTTTTAATCATTATTATTCTTTAGTAATAATTGCTTCGTCTCTGAGCCAGCAGAGTTATAGTCAAGGCGTCAGAGGCTCAAAACTAGTAAAGTAGTGGTTGATCCCAACGATGCGTATTTATGCTTAAAACTAAGAAAAAAATATAAGGAACAATACCTCTGAAAGTATTTACATAACCCAACATACGTGTTGTAGATTTTTTAATGCAAAATAAATGGTTTTTGTATTTTTTCTAAATTTCTGTTTTTTCTAAATTATCTCATGCCAAAAAACTCACCTGAGATTGAAAAAAAAAATATCCTCACCCAAAAAAAATTCAAAATCAATTTTACGGTATTCAAAGCTGCCCCGTTGACGATAATACCACTTGGATGGTACATCGAAAAACACATGTTTCAAAGTTTTTCTGTCAGTTTTTAAAAATCAAATTAATATTTCATATTTTGTGGTGAGATCTTATCTGAGAAAGTACCTGAGACCAAACCTGAGGAATTCATTTTATTTTTCAAATCTGACATGGAACACTTTTAAAGAGGTGGTTTTCGATGTATCATACGAATGGTACCTCAACGAGGCAGCTTTGAATACTCTAAAATTAATTTTTCTTTAGTAAGGATACTTTTTATGAAATCTCACGTGAGTTTTTGGTATGAGATAGTCACCTTATATCTCAGGTGAGATCTTACCTGATTGTCATAGACAGGGTATATAAAAAAAAACACTATCTTACGAAGTAATATATTCAACAAATGTCATGGTACGTGTCACTTATGTACATTACAATCAAACGTATTTCAGTGTGTCATAATATAAATACGTAAAGNATGAGCCCAGACTTTGTGCTGTGAGAGCACGATCGCTGAGCTCCAGGGGCTCCCCTCTACAAGCTTCTACAGTTCAATGCTGCGCCGTACTGTGAGCTCACGAACTACAGGCAGAGTGGCTCTCATGCTTGTGCTTCACAAGTTCAATGCACATTTGAACTAGTATGACACGATCTTTGATCTTAGGTAGTCCAAATACTTGTGCAGTGGGAATTCAAAGTGATTTGAACTCTATAAGCACATGTACTTGATCTCCTTATGCTCGAAATTATTTTGCGTGTGGGGGTCACATATAGTTATCAGAGCGCTTGGTGGCTCAGTCGACTAGGTCGTGGATTGGCACGCGGGAGACCGTGGTTCGATTCCCGGCCAGTACGACATTTTTGGGCAACTACTGTAATTTCTTATATGTGCTTTTTCACCACGCAATGCTCCTCGAGGAGGGTTTAGGCGACCTTCTCGCAGCAAATATTGCCTAACTTCCCCCTACCCCCCTCCCAGTAATGTGAGGCCTCCCATCCCTCTTCCCTTCCTTCTCCAAAGTGCTAAGTGCCCTGTGTAGTGCCCTTTATAGGAGCCGGACGTAAAGCACTATAATATAAAAAATAAAAATAAAAAAAACATATAGTCATCTACGTTTACTCGGTGTCCGTTTAAACGACACCGAGTAAACGACGGTGGCGGCTATGCGACACCTGGTGCGAGGAAATGAAAATGACACAAAATGTTTACAAAAATCTACTGTCGGTAACATAGGCAAATAGGACCACCGGTGTATCTTACAGGGTGGCTTATTTTTGCTGTAGTTCTCCTGATTCCCCACATTTCATGTTCATATTTTCTTATTCTCTGCTCTTGTCGCATTTGTGTGCAAAACCCGACAAAAATGTAAGCCAAAGGCTATAAGACCCAGGCCTGGCCAGGCAAGCCATACATCATTTATATTATTGGATTCACTTTTGTAGTTTGTTGGTGCGGTGATGATGTCACACAGACCACCTTGAGAGCGAAGGATCTATGTGGTAGGCAATTTTTGCTGCGAGAAGGTCGCTTAAACCCGTCACGAGGAGCATTGCGTGATAAAAAAGCACGTGTGAAAATTCACAAAGGTACTTGCTCGGGAGAGTCGCACTGGCCGGGAACCGAACCCGCAGTCTCCCACGTGCCGTCCCACAAACCAGCCAACCGAGCCACCGCGCGCTTATTTGTTCAGGTACAATAACATGTGTCTTAAGTACTAGCAGTTCTACGTACTACAGTTGGCGTTATGGTATGTATATGTATATTTAACGCTTTTGGATAGAAAATAACGATGAGTAATTTTAGCAAATGATAAGGGAAAATCTTATGAGCAAATTATTGCTGCTTTATTGAACACTGTTGAGTGATATACAATGGCTAATTTTTAGAAACATTCAAGAAAATGATAATTAAATTTTAACAAATCTAATTTTTTTTATTTTTAAATCATTATGACTGTAGCTACAAATTCAGAAATACTTACTATTTTGATCAAATTATTCGTGATTCACTTGAAAAACAGTCTAACGTTGGTTATTTGATTGTATTCGTTCTCGAAGTAATCATACTGAGTATATTAGGCCTAATTTTTTTTTCACAATTTGCGTACTCTTAATTTTTCCTTTTAGTCATTCAGCTTTCGTTTAATGTACCCATAATTAGAAACGAATGAACAAGCACAAAAAAAAAACAGGATCAATTAATGGAAGCACACACACACATTTATGTGTATGTCAGTGTCAGGTGTCACGTCTCGAAGGCTCGAAGGTTATATAGTTTACCTATGTACGTATCCCATCATCAGGGCCTGAGACTTGTGAAGTTGGCGCCCGTAAATATTAAATATTAATATTTTGCACCCATTCAGGGCTTAAACGATTCCTCCTTACTTGCGGATTTATCCTCCACTTGAATTTTTATTTGCGGATCAATAGTTTGCGAGATATTTGCAAAATAAAAAGTCGAAAATGGGCGCGGCGCTGAAGTATAAAAAACTTTGTTTTAAGTGCTAAATTGGGTTAAAATCCAATTCTACCTGTACGATTCGATTCCTCCTCATTTGCGGATTACGGAGGTATATAAATTAATGTAATTAAATGTCACAAAGTTTGTAAATAATGAATTTAATTATTGAGTGAAAGAATCTAGTAATTTTTGTCTAGTGACTTTTGGTCCCGTGCTCCGTTCCTGTTATTCGGTACATGTCGTTTACTCCGAACAGCGGGTTCTACAAAATATTTATCAGAATAGAAAAGCTTAGTAGGTAATAATCTATTAATTATTAGTTTTAAGTTATTTAGCTTTTGGGTCAATACACACACACACACACATACATTACATACTTCAAACTCAAGGAAAAATTTATTTGTCAATAGGTACAGATTTTTCATCTTAAGAATCTAATATCTGGAATCTATTGTGGCAAACACTGTGGACTGATATTTATTCATTACGCGCGAAATTTTAATATTTGTTGTTATTCAAGAAACAAATAACAACACAACTAAAAAGGAGCAGTACAGCTATAATCATCCCAAGACAAGCCACAGCTAAGCACACAAGTAATAATTTTGTTTGGACAAGTTTTAGAAAACAGCTCAAGCATTCAAATTTCGCGCGTAAATGATCAATCAGGCGAATTGAAGATCAAGTTACCGACCAGTGGAAACGGATAAAAGTGACACAGGCTGTGTTCGCCTAAGGCTCTGTTTGTTATTAAGTCTATTAAGGTCACGTGATCATTTATCATAAGTGCAAGGGAGACAGCATGATGTCACCGTCTCACTCGCACTTATCATAAATGATCACGTGACCTTAACATACTACAAACGGAGCCTATGCAAACACAGCCCCAGTAATAAGGTTACAAGTACTTAATTTAAAAAAATGTTTATTAAATGGGTTTACACAAGATTGCATAGTCATCGAAAAATGTGTGTGTGTGTGCATGTGTGTGTATTGACCCAAAGGCTGAATAACTTATAACTAATAATTAATGGATTAATACCTACTAAAGTTTTCTTTTCTGATAAATATTTTGTAGAACCCGCTGTTCGGAGTAAACGACATGTACCGAATAACAGGAACGGAGCACGGGACCAAAAGTCACTAGACAAAAATTACTAGATTCTCTCACTCAATAATTAAATTCATTATTTACAAACTTTGTGACATTTAATTACATTAATTTATATATCTTTATAATCCGCAAATGAGGAGGAATCGAATCGTATAGGTAGAATTGGATTTTAACCCAACTTAGCACTTAAAACAAAGTTTTTTATACTTCAGCGCCGCGCCCATTTTCGACTTTTTATTTTGCAAATATTTCGCAAACTATTGATCCGCAAATAAAAATTCAAGTAGAGGATAAATCCGCAAGTAAGGAGGAATCGTTTAAGCCCCGAATGGGTGCAAAATATAATTATTTAATATTTGCGGGCGCCAACTTCACAAGTCTCAGGGCCTGGCCAAGTAGCCATACTCTTTCGATAACCTCATTACAATATTGGCCAAAACCTGGTGTTCAGTTACGGCTGTCTAAGTCTATAGTCGTCTAGTGGTCATTTCTTGTCGGGGAGACCCTTAGAAATCTCGTTGAAAGTATCGATACCAAAGAAAAATCTCAGGTTGTTATCGATGTATCGAACCGTAGGCCCGTAGGATATACTCAATTAGTTTTGGTAACTTGACAGGCGCATTTGTAATATACTTTCCGAAGATGTCTCGATAATTAACCACGTGCTTTTTGTTGTGTATTACTGAAAGAACTGTGGGAATATATTTTACAAGTAAGTAAATGTTTTAATAATTTATTGCCATGGACATTAGTATCCTGATATTTTATTACCTCTAGCATCATTGAGCATCACATGAACTTGTATGTTATTATGTTTGTACTTTAGTCATGGCTACCTCATTTTCCCATCATTTTTCTATTATGAAATTTTACCATCACATATACATACTTTTTCTTAATTTAGTAGGGTAATAAGACAATAAATATATTTCATCTTCTTCATATTTTAATTGCTTAAATATCTGTAACCGTCTTTTTTATGATCACGATTGTGTCTTTATGAAAAAAAGTATTGTCACGAGTATCATATTCAGGATCACGATTCAGTACAATAATACATTTTGTAACCCCTGGATAGAACACTTTCCCTTAAGTATTTATTAATTTCGAATTGACTTGGCATTTAATTGTGCTTAAAAGTTGACTTTTTAGCTAGTTTTTCAGATGTTTTTTTGGCTCAGGTGTATTATCTAGCAGCATGATTTTCAACGTGTCAAAGGTTTAAAGTGAGAGAGAGTTATAGTTTGTATCTGCAGATAGTAAACTGTAACCATTAATTTAACCGTTGTTATTTCTATCCTAATATTTCTTGATATTTGTGACATATGCATGCATGAAACAAATGCCTACTATGCACATATTAATCTATGAGCCAGTATAAACGTTTAAGGTGGCTTGGGCGGTTAGTACCGTACCTACAGTAGGGTGCCATCAGAGAATATAGAAGCACATCCCTTTATGGTATGTGTTTCTATATTATCTGGTGCCCTAAAGGCCCCTATAAAATCAACACTTTTTGACGATAAATTTTTCAATAAATATAGTTGAATGTTGCGAGGCAAGTAAGATCAATATTTCATACTTTTTTTCTGATTTTCTCTTAAGTAAAGTCGTTGACCCTACATTTTCAAGAATTTAATAGATTCTTTGTAAAAAAAATACACGAGAACTATTTCAAATTTTTGAGGTTAATCAAGTACTTCTAGAGTTATAGCCATGTTAGTGACTGTTCCCATAAGACTGCATGTCAAATTAGTGAATTTTCAGTAGCGATTTGCGAAAAAATTAGGTCGTTGACCCCAGTTTTTTTTATCACAAATGAATTTGGCATACTTTATTTACATAACTCTAGAATTTCAGAGGTGTTGATCAAGCCGATAAAAATCACCCAAGCCACGTTAAGGGGGCTCCAGCGAGCACTGGTACCAACCCGAAAACTATTTGGTTACCCGAATGGAAATTGTAAGTAGGCGATCAGTAGGGCCTACTTAGGCTGCCTCTCTTGCCAACTGAGGTCTTACGTTGGCAGCGTCAGGTAGCGTTTGGTAGGCCCTAAGTAGGCTGCCTCCATTGATGTAACATAACCAACTTTCAATTGATAAATATAGATATGTACATATGAAAATACACAGTGTATCATAATTGAAAAAAAGTCATACTTCATTTAAAACGAATCATATTCTATTTCTTCATGAAAATTTTTCATCACGGCATTGTTGATCACGTGTAGTTATAAAAATGTAGAATTAAAATAAATAGTAATTTTATATACATAAAGATACAAATGTCACCTGAAAAATATCTCTCATTCACTATTGATATCAAGTTTACAATATGAACATGTGATTCGTGAGTTAATTGTGAGGAACTATCAAATAATCACCAAGAAACTAATATAAATTAAATGCTCACACTGCAGTTTACTTTTCTTTCATGCAAAAACATATTGATTCAATTAAATAACAGATGAACTTGATTCGACGGCGAACATCTAAATGACAGTGTACAAGCTGTTGAATGTTAAATTTCATAATCTTAGTACGGTTTTCAAACAGTTTTTATTGCTATTTTTTGAAGCAACAGTTATTATTTCTAATTCAGTACTTTGGAAAACTTTGTTTAGTTGACAACAAATTTAATGTCGATTGATTTTGTTAGTCTTATGTGTATAAGAATACTCATTCATCATTTGTAGAGGACTCAATGAAAGACATTTGTAACAGTTGTAACTTGTGTACCTGTGTATAATTTTACGCTACAGTTTACACTGCAACTGTAGCTGATACAACGATATATACTATTCGAGAAATAAGATAAAGGTAGGTTATGTAGGCTGCCTAATGAGTACCTCACGCACGCCCCCTGACGCGCCTACTTGTGCCCTCAGTAGGCTGCCTAAGTAGGGCCTCACGAACTAGAGAGGCAACCGACTTTCATTTCTGTTCGGGTAGTTGGTATCACTGCTGTGAGATATATCTATATATACGTGTATATATTTGCGAGCAGGCAAGCACCATTATCTATATATATGATGTATCCGTACTTATGGTAAACAAATAGCATCTTCTGTCACGTACAGAGCGTTTTATTTAAAATTAGTTTTTTCGTGTTATAAAAAATAAAAGAAATCATACATCAATGTAAGAGTCATCAAGACTTGCAGGATGCTGAAATGATTTTGCAACAGCAAAAAAGAAATAAAAAAGTAATTGATGATAACAAACAAAAATTAAGTGTATTAAAGGTATTATTAATGATAAGATGATTTATAAAATGGCCAAGGAATCGATATCAACAGAAGTATTAGTAGATACATATAAAAAAAAACCTACAAATGGTATCACCTGATTATTATCTATAAGTGTAAATAAAAAAGTAAGAGTTACTTCAAATATTAAAATTATTGACGCACTTTGTGATAAAATAAAAAATAATTGCAGTTAAAATTTTTCAATGTTCTATTTTATTAAAAAAAAAATAAGTGTAAGTAATCCATAGGAGAACACGATTAAAAAAGAGTTACAAATGACAGGAATCCTATGTAAGTACTTGCAGTGTAATTCTGAAATATTCAAAAGCGCGCGCCTTACAAAAAACAAGATGGCATCCCGTCATGACCCTACTAATTCAATGACTTGATCAATACTTTACGAAATATCTCAAATATTTCCAGGCTTACCTATATTTTTGAAGGTACCATCTAAAAGTTGAGATGTTTTCTATAAAACAGTTATAGTCCTGATATGTAACTCCTCGATTATTGTTAAAAAATACCGATGTTTTTACGTTGCTCCATGAGAGGCTATGTATAATGTACGAACTTTGAGAGCAAATATCTCAAAATTTTCCAGGGTTAGAGGGGTAAATAAGGACACCGTTGGAATCAGCGTGTTTTTATCTATCAATTAAGCTACCTGTGACTTCCTAACTCCTCCCGCTGGAGCCCCCTTAACAGTGTGCTTCGTGTGCACTTTTTTGTTTCTGAAAAGTTTTCAGAATAGTGAGAGACAAAAATTTCAAATCGCAAAATAAGAGGACCCAGATTTACAAGCAAGTGTTATAATTTGCTTGAACAATATAATTCAAAATTGTGTTAAATTAATTTTTTTGTAGGGGTAAAAAATATAGAATATGTCTCTTCATATAAATAATGCTAGGGTGACCTTTTTATGTTTTTAAGTTTTGAGGCATATACATTTTGTTAGTACCCTATAAGGTAGGTGATGTTAACGTCAGGAGGACCCGATGGTAATAGAAATCAAACTACCTTATCTAACAAGCTTAATCGCTGAGACCAATGCAGGCAACCAATATTGGTCTAAGCTTGGCAATAAAACAGCGCGCTGGTCAAGGTGCAACTTGGCTAGACTTGCCTTAACTACTCCCAAGTCACTGCCGGAATTTGTTTGCAATGCATATAACATGTATATGTACTCAACACAACAATGTCTGCATATATCACAAAAGTTTTACTTTCGCTGAGTATACCGATACGTAATATATACATATTTAAACGAACTCAGGCAGTGACTAAGTAGCAATCAGGCCAAGTCACGCCCTGGCCAGTGCGCCGTTTTACTGCCAAGCTTTGGACCATGGTGTTAGATATAACATTGGGATTGGGACATAAGGTGCATTTTTTAACATTTGGTCGGTTGATATATTGCGAATGATTGCTCGAGGAAGTATATCCGTGAGCAATCGGACTGACCTACCGACCAATCGTTGAACATTTTGAAAGGGAGAAATTAAAAATATTATTGTAAAATTAAAATTAATTAAAATTATATCATAATTTGTATTGTTTGGTTTAAACATAAATTGTTGAAAATGGGCCAAAAATTTTGTGTAAAAAAATGTTCAAGTGGTTCAACATTATTTAGCGCATCAAGCAATGACGAAAGTCTAGTAACATTTTAAAGCAAGGTTGTTTAAATTGTAACAACACTGTTCCTTTACGTAAAAATAAAACGAGGCGCCAACGCAGCATTAGAAAATCTAGATCACGTTCGTCACTTCAGTCCTTCTGACCTCTTGGGTTTCTTCTCCTGAAAAAGGGCGATTGGTTCTTCCGTTCTACGGGGAGAACTATCAATTCAACACACTAACAACATATACCTTAAACTATTTCTTTATTCATTCACTTACACTAATACACAGTATCTCTGTACGCAATACACTACGCAACGCTTCACATCGTCCTCTAGACTGCGCTGCAGCGACTCCGCCTCGCACCACGCGAGCTGCGAGCGCACGTCCACCACGTCCTGCTCGTCCTGGACCAGGAGGGGCTTCTGCTCGTCCTAGACCCACGCTACTATGCACACACTCACACTCCGTCCTTAATCTCACTTACTACTATATTCTCTCTCACTCTCTCTCTCTCTACTCTGCCATCTACCCTCACACATGACAAAACGTGCGAACAATGGCGGCACTCCCAAGCATGCACCTCGTGGTCTCTCGTACACCTCGTCTCGTCCACCCACACACTACTCTCTCTTTCTCTCTCTCACACTGTCTTTGCTATACTCTCTCTCTCTCTCGATCTCTCTCTCTCTCTGCCTCTAGCCTCATCTCCTGGTCAAATGTTCGCGAGTCCAACCCAGTTCGATGTCGTCCGAGCGGGTCGTTCGTCCTACAGCTTTAGTCTTTCTCTTCTTTCTCTCACTTATCCTCTTCTTCTTGTCTCAGCGGCTTTCGTAGTTCTCG